CAACTCCTGGTGTAGGGAGGTATTTTGTATACCCTGGCAGAACTCAATATTGTGTTTAATTGTTCAAATCTTCAGTTCCATGCTGGAAGACTGCGGTTGTCCCTCTCTTTAAAGTATGCAAACCTACAGACACTGCTGGTAGATTTGTATAAAATATTCAAAATATGCAGGGCAAATGAAATACAGCAAAAATCATCACCAAAGTTTTGAATGTTGCCTCTGTTGTTGTTGTAGACGTTCTTATTGTGGCATTGTCAATATCATGGCGCATGACCTTGAAATTTGTTGTGCAAAAGGGAGTTTCCTTTTTTTGGGTAAAGTGATGGTGGTGTTGTAGTTGCTTATCGCGCTGCAAACAACAACAGCAGCTATCGCGCAGACAACCAAAGCAGCAGTATGTTTTGTATTTTGATTTTAAGGCGACAGAAGCCTTAAAATATTTTGCAATATTCGTCGCTACTTGCTTCTTCTGTATACCTCTGCCGATAAATGGGCAAGTTTGGACAGATGGATGGATGGAAGAGGAGTAGGAGAACGAAGTGCAATTTCAAAAAATGTTATATTCTTTTTGTATACAATATTCTGAACGTAATACGACGCAATATCATCGTCGTCCAAAACCGGCAAAATAACCCATGACACCATCCTGCTGCGCTCCCTACCTCTTCTCTCTTCTTTTCATGACTAACCTAATAATCAAGAAAGTAAATACATTTGTGCAAAACTTTGTATGTGTCTGTGTTTGTATGTACAGCTGCAACATGTTTTTCGGTATTATTTTTTATTCTGTTTTGAATAGCCTTTTGCGGGTTTTGTCGATGTCGTTCGTCTAAGCTTTATTTTATTTTGTTTCCAATTTGTGAAGCACAGGCATTCTACCAGAATATGCCCATAAATTGACGATTCATTCAGTAGCTCTATATTTTTTGTTATTTATTGTCTAAGGCCAGACGATGGACGCATTTAATATTCCTAATTAAAAAGTTTTTATTAAAAAAATATATATTCTTATATATAGAATTGGGTGTGTATTTTATAAGTTAAAAATATCTTTTATATTTAATAGAAAATTTTTATTTTCAAAAAAAAAAAAAAAAAATGAAATCAAAATATACGTATATATATATATTTATACACACTGTGGTACAGGGTATTATGTCTCTGTGCATGTGATTGTAACAGGCAAAAGGAATCGAGATAGATTTCTTTCTTTTGAGAATACTCATAGAATCTCTTTCTGAGACGATTTATACATGTCCGTCTGTCTGTCCATTTTAAATTGTAAACATGAGAATACTCATAGAATCTCTTTCTGAGACGATTTATACATGTCCGTCTGTCTGTCCATTTTAAATTGTAAACAAAGTACAGGTCGCATTTTTGATTCGAATAGGATGAAATTTGGACACAGATAATTTATTTGGCCCATTTGAAATTGAAAAAAATCGATTCAGATTTAGATATAGCTCCCACATATATTTTCGTCCGATTTAATGTAAATAGTGTACCAAAGTCCCTATATATCCTTCGATTTCCACGAAATTTGGTAGGATAGTGATAGATATATGTAGTTTTGGAAATTTGTACCTTTGTGTACGAAAGGTACTATATATGGTACAATTTGGATTTTTGTGAACCGATTGAGCTGCAACTTTGAAATTTTACGTTAGGATCATTGTTGAGGTATGTAGAAAATTCGTACTAATGTGTACTATATGGTACCACATTTGGATTTAGGTTAACCGATAGAGCTGAATTCTTGAAATTTGAAGTTAGGATCACTGTTGGGGTATGGGATTGGGAAATTCATACTTATGGGTACGAACTTGTACAAAATTTGGTGCAATTTGAATGACCTTATAGAGCTGGGATTCTCTGAAATTTGGAGTTAGGATCATTGTTGCAGAACTTGAAAAACATTTTTTTTTTTAATTTACGCCTTATGACAGATCTCCGCCCACACATGACCGGTATAAAATCGAATTTTCTCATCGAAGTGGTTGGCTATAATTTGACATTTCGGATTCCTGGTGAATAAAAAATAGCTCCCATTTATATGAAGTCCCTACTCCTTTTAAGCACAGCATATTGGAAACTGACTTTTGACAACTGGCATATAAAAAATAATTTTTTTGTAATATTTTTTTAAACACTTGTAAATTTATATGTAGCTTTATTAGATAACAAAATTGTCTTATATATGTTGTTTTTTTTTCTAAAATATTTTCGTTGTTTTTCTAAAATATATATTTTGAATTCGCATTGAACAGAGTAAAAAATGTTGACACTTCTATAAATACGATCGCGGTGGTAGAACAAAAATTGTGAAGCGTAAATAAAAAAAACAAATAAAATTCAAACTATTTTTGTGCAGCAGTGGGTTGGTAAGCTATTCGTCGTAGCGAATAACAGCAACAACAAAAAAACTAAAAAAATAACTATAAAAAAATTGCATTGCAAGAACTAAATAAATTTCATTGCACTTTTGGCAGAGAAAAAGGTAATTCAACTTGATTGGCGGTGGCTGGCGACGGTTCCACTAGATTCATGTTGTTGTTATATTTTTTTTCAACATTGGCGGCAACGTCAACAACAACGACCGACATGACTACGACAACAACGTTGTTGTTTGCTGTCTATGGCTATGAAAACCGACCGCCATGCAAACGCAAAACAACACTTGGTGGACGGACAGGCAGACAGACAGACTATGACGATGATAACACAACGAGCAACACCATGTAGCAAACACCAACAAATAGATCAAATTACACATGTTTACAAATTTGAATTTTTAGTTATTCACTTTAGAAATCGGCGAATAATTGGAAATGACCTAGCTCCGGGGAAGTCCCGCGCTATTTGCAATATTCCTTGGTCAGAAGCAGCATGGGCTCTCTGACAAAAGGAACCTTAGATCTAATAACACAGGTTTACAAATTTGAATTTTTAGTTATTCACTTTAGAAATCGGCGAATAATTGGATATAACCCTCTGGGGAAGTCCCGCGCTATTTGCAATATTCCTTGGCCAAAAGCAGCTTGGGCTCTCTGGCAAAGGACCCTTATTGTACTTATTAGGTCATTATCTATAAGAAATCCCAATGGCAACATTTTTGTAAACTTGTGTAAATTACAACCAATGTGTCTGTGCGTGTGTTTGTTCCATAAGCTCCACAATGACAACATTATGTCGTATTGTGGAACACAAACTACATATTTACGCAACGAACATATAGTTCTCAAATAGAATTACAATTTCTTAACAAGACAAAAAAATAGCAAGAACAAGACTGAGAGAACAGCAATATCACATGTTTTCTGGCCTTTCCAATGGTGTGCTGTGGAACCTTCAAATCGGTCTTTAACTTTGGCATAGAGTTGCTGCGCACACATGCCTGCATGCATAAATACATGGATTATTTCATTGAGACCCTGATTCCATGGGAACGCTAATAAACTTTATAATATGCATTTTTAAAGGAAGGTTAATAGTTATAGAAAAGTTAATTTAAAAAAAATATGCGGAAGGCTTTAAAAAAAACTATCTTTAAAAATCCACGTTCTATGGCAGGCTTAATAAAAATATTTTTTTAAAAAATCACGATCTATGGCAAACTTTGAAAAAATATGTTTTAAAATCCACGACCTATGACAGGCTTAGATATTTTTTAATCCACGACCAATGGCAGGCTTAGAAAAACATTTTTTTTTAAATCCACGATATATAGCAGACTTTGAAGAAATATATTTTTAAATCCACGCCTTCAATAGTCTTTGAAAAATCCACGCCATCAATAGTCTTTGAAAAAATATATTTTTAAATCCACGCCTTCAACAGCCGTTGAAAAAATCCACGCCTTCAATAGCCGTTGAAAAAATCCACGCCTTTAATAGTCTTTGAAAAAATCCACGCCTTCAATAGTCGTTGAAAAAATCCACGCCTTCAATAGTCTTTGAAAAATCCACGCCTTCAATAGTCGTTGAAAAAATCCACGCCTTCAATAGTCTTTGAAAAATCCACGCCTTCAATAGTCTTTGAAAAAATATATTTTTAAATCCACGCCTTCAACAGCCGTTGAAAAAATACGCCTTATATGAAAAAATCCACGCCTTTAATATTTGAAAAAAATGAAAAAATATACGCCTTCAATAGTCTTTGAAAAAATCCACGCCTTCAATAGTCTTTGAAAAAATCCACGCCTTCAATAGTCGTTGAAAAAATCCACGCCTTGAATAGTCGTTGAAAAAATCCACGCCTTGAATAGTCGTTGAAAAAATCCACGCCTTCAATAGTCGTTGAAAAAATCCACGCCTTTGAATAGTCGTTGAAAAAATCCACGCCTTGAATAGTCGTTGAAAAAATCCACGCCTTGAATAGTCGTTGAAAAAATCCACGCCTTCAATAGTCGTTGAAAAAATCCACGCCTTTGAATAGTCGTTGAAAAAATCCACGCCTTGAATAGTCGTTGAAAAAATCCACGCCTTCAATAGCCGTTGAAAAAAATCCACGCCTTTAATAGTCTTTGAAAAAATCCACGCCCTCAATAGTCGTTGAAAAAATCCACGCCTTCAATAGTCGTTGAAAAAATCCACGCCTTCAATAGTCTTTGAAGACATATTTTTAAAAAATCCACGCCTTATGGCAGACCTTAAATCCGTATTTTTTTGATTTTTTTTTTTTTTAAATTTACTTCTCTTGACATTACATTCTTAAAAAATAATAAATGACTCCATTTTCTTCTTTTTCTTTCCAGCTGGACTACAAATTTAGCAACAACACAAACTCCTGAATCATTCCAGACATTGCCATCAGCTGCAGCAGCCAGTGAAATATTTCATTGACTCCAAGTTAAGCCCTGAAGCACAAGCGGCGCACCTGTCTACACAAGTACAAGCTCTCTCAAACCGGCACAGACTTCGATCCTACGGCTAAAAACAAGCTACCACCCACCTATTATCAAAAACACACCACCACCAACCCCCTACAGCCACAAAACTAAAACAAAACCGCCGCATCGTCAACATGGAAGTTGAAACAGCACGTCAAAATGGCTATGCCAGTGCTGAGTCACGTGAAAGCTCCGTAGAACGTGAGCTAAACGGTGACATTAAGGCAGTCGAAATTAATGGCGGCACTGCTGGCGGCGGTCATTCTCCCAAAGGCCAAAATGGTATCATTAAAAAACCTCACAATGTCTCGGCCGATTCGCATGATCAACGCATCAAGCGCAAGGCTAAACGCCTCATTCAGCGACAAAATAGTCGCGGTGAAAGCAACAATGGCGGTGCCATTGGTGGTATACCCATTGTTATAAATGGCAGTGCCAAAGATTATGTTGTACCTCAGCGACGCTGGAAGAATAGTCGTCGTTCCCGTTCGGGCTATGGTCGTGGCCTGCCCAAAAAGGGTGGTGCCGGCGGCAAGGGTGTATGGGGCCTACCCGGTTCCGAGGCACTCGAAGAACTGTACGAAGATGAAAACGATCCCAACTACGATAGTGAATCGAACGATCAAAATGTTGTATTAACTGAAGTCATTCCGGAGCTAACTCCCGAAGAGTTTTTCAAATTGGCTGAGCCCATTGTTTTGGAATACTACGAACATGGTGATACCCATGAGGTGGCTGTTAATTTCGATGAAATATTAACGGGTAATTTGCGTCCATATGTTACGAGTGTGATTGTGGAGATTGCGTTGGATCACAAGGATTCGCAACGTGAAATGACATCGGTATTGATATCCGATTTATATGGTCGTGTTATAACGGCCAAAGATATTGAAAAAGGTTTCGAAATATTATTGGCAAATTTGCCGGATTTAACATTGGATACACCAGATGCACCAAATTTATTAGGTAAGTTTGATAAAAATGTTATAAAAAAATATATGTGGGAAAGGAGGGCTATAAATAATTTATTTACAAGCTAAAAACTTAACCCTTGATATTTAATTCAAAACGCACAAAATATCAGCATTTTTTCCAAATTTCGGGTGACTTTTCTATCAAACTAATTTTTATCCAATAAACCTCTATTTAATTAGAAGATTTCGGCTGACTTTCTATCGAACAAATTTGTATTCAATAAAAAGAATCGGGCCGGTAAACAGTGAATTTCCTAATTTGAGGTTATGTCTAAAGAAGGTCAATCATAATCATTTTGTATTCGCACATATTATTTATAACCCTACCCTACACAAATACAAATCAATTGTAAAAACCAACTCTCCATTACTTTTTTTAATAAATTCGCTTTCCTATTTTGCATTCGTTTTATTCTTTCCAGGCAACTTCTTAGCTCGTGCCGTTGCCGATGATTGTCTGCCTCCGAAATTTGTTACTAAACCATCTGAGCATGGTGAACTCAATGATCATGCCATGACGGCAATCCGTCGTGCCGATACTCTACTGCACATGAAACAGGGTTGGGCCCATTTGGATAACGTATGGGGTATGGGTGGTCCATTGCGACCCGTCAAGACCATAACAAAACAAATGACATTGCTGCTGAAGGAGTATTTATCGTCGCGTGACATACAAGAGGCGCATCATTGTCTACGCGCCCTCGAGGTTCCACATTTCCATCATGAGCTTGTCTATGAAGCTGTCGTCATGACATTGGAATCATTGTCACAGACCACCGAGGAGGCAATGTGTGAATTGTTGGCATCATTGGATAAAGCTTGTTTGGTACTTCCAGCTGGCATGGAACAGGTGAGTGGTGGTCTTGTAGTACTAAATTTGTTGTCAGAATAATATTAAAAAAATATTTTTTTTTAAATCCAAGCCTCTATAGTCGTAAAAAATATTCTTTAAAAATCCACGCCTTTAAAAGTTGACGATTTTTAACGAATATATTTTTAAATGACTATTAGAAGGCGTGGATTTTTAAAGAATAGTTTTTAAACGACTTTTAGAGGCGTAGATTTTTTAAACAATTTTTTTTCGAATTTATGATCCAATTTGGATGAAATTTGGCATAGATCACTTATTTGGCCCAAGGACGAACCCTATTGAAATTGGGAAAAATCGGTTCAGATTTAGATATAGCTCCCATATATATTTTCGTTCGATTTTATGTAAATGGTGCACCAAATTCCCTATATATCTCTCGATTTGCACGAAATTTGGCACAGCGTAATGAATTAGGTCTAGAATGATGTGTGTTAAGTTTCCTGAAAATCGGTTCCGATTTAGATATAGCTCCCATATATATTTTCGTCCGATTTAATGTAAATCGTGCACCAAATTCCCTATATATCTTTCGATTTGCACAAAGTTTGGCACATCGTAATGAATTAGGCCTAGAATGATGTGTGTTAAGTTTCCTGAAAATCTGTTCAGATTTAGATATATCTTCTATATCTGACCAAATGAAAAATTTAGTATCGGTTGCAGAATGACATGACATTTATGGATCCAATTTCATTTTACTGGTACTTTTAAAAAGCGACGTCTTTTAGGATTCATCTGTAGAATATATATATAGTCGGCCCCGTCCGACTTTACTACTTTCCTTACTGGCTAAGAATATTTTTTAACGACTATTAGAAGGATGGATTTTTAAAGAATATTTTTTCAACGACTATTAGAGGCTTGGATTTTTTAAGGAGCATTTTTTAAGACTATTAGAAGCCTGGATTTTTAAAGAAAAAAATATTTGAAAAAAATTGCTTGGATTTTTTTTAGTGGCTTTTTAACAACTGTTAGATCCGTGGATTTTTTTTTAATATATTTGTTTAATTCCTTTAAATCAATCACTTTTTTTCTTCCTTTTTACAGGGTTTCCTACGAGTTTTTGATGATATGGCTGACATTGTCTTGGATGTGCCACTTGCTTATATAATATTAGATCGTTTTGTGGAACGTTGCAATCGTGCTGGTTTTATAACTGATAAGATATTAAATAATATGCCCTCTAGGTAAGTTGGAAAAACCTTTATTTATATATTTTTTTTTTTTTTTTTTTTTTTTTTTGTAAATATATAAAAAGATGGCAAACAATTTTCCAAAAACAAATATAGTTAAATGTTGTCCCTTCAAATTAAAATTGGCGAGTGAGATCCCCTTCAATGTAGCAATGAACAAACAAAATAAAATCGGTCTGCCCAGATTGTTAAGCGAATCACAAGGGTGCATAGAATAATAGAAACATTTTCTCGAAACATAATTTAAAAAAAAAAAAAAAAAAAAAAAAAACGTCCAAAACTTTGAGGAGTGTCTGATTTAATCCAAACTCTGCTCGTCGTAATATTATTACTAAACTTTTTTATTTGAATTTTGCCTTGTAAAAAAAAGATTATAAATAACTCACATTATTACTTAAACTTAAATTAAAATCGAAGATGAGCCCAATCCTTCTGCTGCGTGCCTCCCCACGAAGGGTCATTTCCAAAAAAATTATAAAAATTACATTTCAGTGTAACTGATAAATGACCAAAACTAATTGCCTCTTAACCCAACAGCCGTTAATGGCTTGATATCAAATATGGAATTATCAATTTAACTCAATGCTTATAAATAACTCGTTTTCACATCGGGATAATAAATAACAACGTACAAACACTGAAATATGATCAAACATTTTGTGGTAGTACAATGTATATTTAGTCCATACACATGTCCATATATTCGCGTTTGACAGATGGAGATAATAATACTTTTTTGTAAATACAAAAATAATAAATATCGATTTATTATTGTTCAGAAGGAAAGGTGTTTTTTTAATTTACCCCATAATGAAATGGGATATATAAATATGGGTCATATTTATGGCTAAAATAAACATAATTTATTTAAGGTATTAATAGTCAGGTTTATATACAAGTAAACATTTTTTTTTTTACATTGTTAATACATCAACAGTTGCTTTCTTGTCTCATCATTACTTTTGATTTAATTCTTCGCTTGATAATAAAGATAACTTTTTTAAAGACCCCTTGTTGATATAGATAAGAGTAACAATATTTGTAATGCCAATTAAAAAAAACAGATGTAGTAATTGTGTTATCAGTAAACTGCAAACAACGGGGACGTAAAAAACCGTTTGCAAAAGTTCTATTAAGGCTATTGGCACACACAAGTGATAGTGAAAATACACCACCATACATTATCATCATCAAACACACTTGCATGCAATTAAAATAAAAAAAAAAAAATGAGATAAGAAGTGGGCTAGGCACAACCAGCCTTATTTCATATTATATATACAACCATGAGGCGAGGGGGAGATAATGAATATTCCTAAAAATTACAATGTATGTAAAGAAACTTTCATTATAATTGAGTATTTGAGAATGTGATGATCAATTAATAGCAGAATCTAAGGATATTTTATAGGTTATTGAGGATTTGGAAGGAGCATTAATTTGCAAAATTATGGCGGTGAAGAAGATACCCATGAGATGACGGTATAGTTTATTTAGCACCTAGTTAATATGAGGTCAGAAAAGCAAATTATCGGCTGACGAATAATAAAGCAGCAGGTGCCGATGGTGTATCGGCCGAACTATTCAAGACCAGTGACCAGATGCCTATCAAGAGCATGCACCAGCAGATTAGTACAATTTGGCATTTAATAAATTCCTCCATTATCAAATGATTGAAATCATCTCATCATCTTGTATCGCGTGCACAAAAAAGGAGACATGACAAGAAGGAATCGGGTCAAAGAAAAAGCATGTCTTGACAAAGATTGGTAAATATTTGACGTGTCAAATGGACTCTGACTTTTGTGTGAAAAATTACAATATTTGTATTCTATGGCGTATAGGGCGGCACCTTTTAAACGGGGGCACCTTTGAACAGCGCTCATAAAATCTTGGATTAAATTTTTTTCCGACCCGCTACCACATTTTTGTATATGGCAATCTTGTTCTTTATCTGCGTAAACCACTTTTGAAAGCATTTTCAGTTGTCGACAAATTGTACATGGGTGACCATGTTTTCGCAGTGTAATTGTAAACTTTTATTCTTTTGGTGGTAAAGGCGCAGGAAGAATTCTGTGAAAGTTTTCTTTCGTTAAACAAATTTTTTGCATTCCAATAATCATTTCAAACATAACGAATGTAATTTCTTTCATATATATTTATTACAAAAAAAGTTATACATATCCGTCAAATGCCACGGATATATATAACTTTTTGTGTGCCCATTAAATTCGAGTAAAAAGCGCAGCTTTTAACTTTTGGCTTCGAGTTCTTAAAAATTTCAAATGGGATAATAAGACTACGAAATTAACTGTATTTTTCACCATATTAATTTTTGTTTTTATGTCATTTTATGTTTTAATAAATTTTGATCTGATTTTTTTTAATTTTCAAAAATTTTGTGTATATATTTTTTAATTATGTTTGAATAAAATACATTTATATTTTAACATAAACACTGTAAAAAACCAAGTCGTTCAAAAATGTCGAGCCTTGTTCAAAGGTGCAGTTTTGAACTGTGTGACTTCCTCCCTTAAAACAGCAATCAAATATTTATATCAAGCTATGTCATATACATATTCATTGTAAAGGTTACATATGCACCTATTTATAAGAAACCAAAAATTATAGAATAAAAAATTTTATGAGGCTTGAAAGAAAAAAGTGTTCTAAGGTGCCCCCCTCTTCCCTATATTTACTCCCAAAGGACAAATACCCGATAAGTTAATAGAACATCGAAGAAGAATGGTTGACCTTGAAATTGATACCAATTGTATTGTCGTGTGTACTCCGATGTATGTACTGGTATGAAGTGGATCAAAAACTTATTTTTTTTGTGTTTTTTTCGAGTCAATATATAGTTCAAAATTTAACGCCGAACATCACAACACAACCCACGGTGAAGGGAATCAGGACAATTAATTAGAAGGGCTGTGCTGGATATTAGTAATATTCGGAAAAAAATGTCAGTGTAAGGAAGAGGTGTTTTTGGCCTCTAATCGGGCATCATATGGTCGGCCCCGACCGACTATACTACTCCGCTCACTGGTTTTATTTTCGAAACGTTAATGCTACGACGCAATTTCGATTTGTCATACTGCCTTGTTTTTTTATTTTGGTACATTCTTTGGTCTGGTTATTTGGTTTTGCCATTTATTTATTTTTGTTTTTTGTTTTGTTTTTGGAGCAAATGAAGAAATGAAAACAAATAATATAAAAAATAAATTAGCCGGTTGATTATCAGCTGGCAATAATGTGTTGTGGTTGTTTATTTTATTTTTTTCTTCTTATTCGTGGTTTCCCATAGATTACTTTGGCAAAAACAATATAAAAATACGTCAGGTGCCTTATATATGATTTGTGTATACATACTTCTTTATTTTTTCTATAAAATGTTTGTTATTGTTTATGTTTTAGTTGTTGTTTTTTCTTTCTATGATTAGCATAATTTTGAGATAGGTTATGATGAGGTAAACAAAACACAGTTTTTTTTTCTGTTTGGGGGAATACGGAAGGGGTTTGTATGTTGATAATTTATAAACATGATATAAAACTATACACAAATTATTTAACAAAATAAGAACTTAAAAAAACAAACAACTTTTATTAATTGAGGTCACTTAATTCTAATTATTTGTTTACGTTTAAAAACTTGAAGAAATGCGTCGCATTTTTTGGTTTTATAACAGATTGTTATTAGATTTCAATATCATAACAAATATGTTATTGAATTTATTTTGAAATGTTAAAATAAATATTTTTAAGACAAACCAATGCGTATTTTGAATTTTTTTATTTTTTGAAAATAAAATTACAGAAAATGTTTTTATCCATTTTCGCCTTTTTCAATTGGCACTCAAGTAAATAAGGCCCTTGCGTATTTTGGTAATACGGACGTTCAACAAACCCTGTAAAGGTTCTTGCGTATTTTAGTACGCAACGCCCTGAATTTAGGTACGGGGCTTAAACCTTCAAAATAACAAATATTGGGCGGAAGCGTTATATTATAGCTCTTCTAAATAATATTGGCTGTAAAGAGGGGGCACACTCAAAACTTATATATCTTAACAATCTATGAGAAATATTCTGAAAAAAGTTTGTAAAATAATGTTATTATTAAAATTGTTGCCTACACATAAAATCGTTTGCAGTAAAGAACATGTTATTCTGTAAAAATGTAGACAAATTGTCGATAAACTTTAAAAAAGCTTTTAATTTGGAACATTTTGAAAACAAGGCATGTTCAATATTGAAGAATATTTGTCGATAAGTTAACTTCGAATTTTTTGGTGTTGTTTATTAACAACATTTTTAACAATTGTTGTTAAAAACTGTTATAGAATTAAAATATTGCTTATTTTGTCGTTATAATATTTTATCGATTTAGAATTGTTTAATTTTGATAGATCCCTTCACCGTGGGGGTTGTAAAATAATGTTTCGGCTTTTAATTGTGGCCTATAGATCGACTCGAAAAAACACAAAAAATAAGTTTTCGCTCCATTTCATCCCAATATTATTATCTTATCATCATCGAAAATTATAGGCGTTGTCCTTGACCATGCCTGTATCCTCATTGAAATTTTCAAAGCGATCAGCGCTATATTTGTTACTAAATAATATCTGAATTCGTAAGCACCTATAAATGTCAAGTGTAACTCTCACATCCGAGTACATACGACAATATAATTTGTATCAATTTAAAAGTCAACCACTCCTCATGGATATGCTATCAACTTTTCGGGTCTTTGTCCTTCAGGGGTAAATATACACGCTATAGAATACAAAATTTGTACTTTTTCACACAAAAGTCCGGGTCCATTTGGCCCGCTAAATATTGACCGATCTTTATCAAAACTGGCATGCTTATTCTTTGACCCGATCCTCTTCTCCATGTGAAAATTCACGATGTTTGGGCCATAATTGCGGCCACTGGAGCAACCAGAAAACCCGACAAAAATTAAGTATTTGGTCCATTTCATCCCCTTAATATTA